TAGTATGAAGTAAATTATTCCAAATTCTTAATTTTAAGAATCTTAGGACATATGTTACTACTATTAGCAATCTAAACCAACTGGAAAAGTCTTCTAACCTTATCCTAGAAACTTCTTTTACGCTCAAGGCCTCTATGAGATATTCTAATTTTTCTATCTAGTCTTCTTCCGTCTCTTTATAATTCATTTCTTTTGGCCATGAACTTTCATCTTCTTTTAATCAATTTGGTCCCCTCCACCGACTTTGGGTTTTAATCAATTCTCGTTGTGTGCACCCCCCCGTGGCCAAATCCGCTGCATTATCTTTTGACGGTACGTAATGTATTTTGATTCCCTTGGCTTGTTTTATTTCTTTAAGCCAATTCATTACAAATACAAATGAAATTTTAGAAGTTTCTAACCAATATAATACGCATTTAGAATCGCACCATACAATACGTCGTACAGTAGGTAACTTTAATTCTCGTTCTACATACAAAATCGCGCGCACATTAATTAACAGCGGTAACAATTCTAAACGTGGAATTGACATACCTTTTAATAAAGCCAGAAGGTTTTTCCTAAATAATAAATTTGTTTGATAACTCTGTTGAGTTGTATTCCTTAAATGTAATCCTGCTGCATACTTATGCTCTAAGGCATCTACAAATGCATGTAGCTCCCAATTTTCTACCGTCCCCCTCTCCATTAATTTCCGAGGTATAGCTATCTTTTCCACTTGTGAAAAACTATTGCCATAATGTCTGTATAGAAAGGGAGGCAAATAGTTGTACAAAAGGCTTTTGAAAGAGCCAAAATATTGTCCTGAATCACAGTCAGTTTCGTGATTGGAGAACATTACTCTTTTGCGATTTTTCTGGCGTTTTCCTTTATTATCCGTGCCTGTTGCAGTTTGTTTTGTATTCATTTTTTTTGTTATCTAATCTCTTACTCTTTTGTTTTATATTTTATTTTCGTTTTTTATAGTTTATTTTTGTTTGATTTGTTGTGTTTTAATTTTCTCAAGCCGAAGACCTGTTACAACGCCTATGCGTGATAGCTGTATCATTGAAGGGTTACTCTATCAAAGTAAAGGCTGGATAAGGCCAGTTGCCGCTTGCAACTTTCGCCTAGTTGAGTACACTGTCTGAACAGATGGGTAGGTTGAAATGTACTGAAGATTTCTTCAAAATACCAGCCACTAGTTTTTGCTGTAGGCCTTACGGGTAGTCAGGTTTAAAGTAAAACTTGTAGTAATAAGGTTCTCAGAGGAGATAATAAAAGGGAGGCTGCAGCGGTCATCCTCCGATACACGGTTGTGTCGGTGACCGCGGCAGAAACGATTTATTTTTTGAAGATTGTCAAAACACCAATTCAAATTGTGCAGGAACGGTTCTGAGTCTGAAATCTTGATAACTGAGTCTCTCTGAGTCTTGATAACTGAAATTGGATTACAATTCTTAACCGCTGTCTTTCGTACCCTTACAAACAGCAGCATTTTTAGGATTAGCTTATTTATTTCTTCACTTTATTTTGAAAAGGTAACGATATAGTTGTATCGAAGGCTATGCTCATTTATACCAGAATTCAAATTAAAGCCAAGATAAAGGCAGTTATCACGCTAAACTATATTGTGAGTAAAGAGTCAATAGCGGTTTGACAGATAACACTGGTAATCTATACTTTTAAAAATTAGGCACTGTCATCGATTTGCAGCTTTTGAAGAAAAATCACCGCTCTGTCCCAAAATCAAGCGACTAGAATTTGCTTGAAAATAGCAAATTGGTGTTTTGAGTAACCACAACGGCTTAATAGTTGTAACTGACAATAGTTTATTTTGTACACGCTATAGAGATCGGTGCCGAAATTGGCATATTATTTTAAATAGTTAACAAAATTTATTCAATAAAAAATTAAAGAAGATTTATAAACTTTGATTTACTGCCAACTGGGCATAATCCTTGATAAAGGATTGCAGTGACGTGAATTGAGGAGGGAGGAGTTGGCAGAAACAGTAGAGGATTTTGCCACCGAGAAGCTTCTTTCCTGGTACGACTTCAGCTGGAAAGGAATTTTATTTAATCTATATTTAACAATTCAGAATGTTTTCAACGCACCGTCTGGTGTATCTGCCAAACAAAAAAATGAATTTGTGGTACTGATTAGTTGTCCTGCTGCTTGCTGTCTGACCTTAACTTGATCATCATTATCGGACATACCTTAAAAAGTATTACAGAAGTTCTAAAATCTTGTCGTAATTGAAAATTTGAATACGCTAATTTTAGTTTTTTTTAAGCGATGTCTTATATATTTCTTTAGGATCTTTTATAATTAGGCGACTGTACGTGTACCTGTGTGGTCCTTTAGGTGTGACTATAATTGTGTGACCTGTAAAGCTTAATTTACGAAACGCAGAACTGTATGGAAAATATGTACAGGAAGTAAACAGAATATTACAAACAAAGAAACTGCACTTGGTGAAAATTCTAATTTAGGTTTTCTTGAGCTTATTTAAGAAGTAAAAGACAAAAACATAAAGTAATCTCTATTCCTGGTCAGGAATAAACTGGATTCAGTGGGTTAGACAAAGCAGAATTATTTTATCTAACGTTTTCATTTGAGAGATGACAGATAGGCAACTCGTGCCATCTACAGCGTCGCCAAATTTCTCACTAATAGACGCCAGTGATTTTTTTCTGTGTTCTGAACACACTCTCTTTGATCTGTCCCACAGAATCATAGTTGGCATTGATTGGTACTCTGGCGGCTTTAACATATTGCTGAAAAAAGTGCAAATTCGAAACTGTGAAGTGAGGTTGGAATTTTTTTTGAATCATTTACTTGTTTGGTTAAAGCCACTGAGAACTTGTTTTACTTCAAAGTCGTAGAGCAGTTTTAAAATTTTCAGTTATCAATTTACTGGCTCCGTTTGATTCTCCGAGCAAGCTGTCTCATTTTAATGTTAAAAAAAGATCGGTATTTAGTAGATTAGACTGACAAGCAGGTGTTAACGTGATGCCTTGTCACGATTGATTCTTCCAAACAGTATGCTTGCAACAGAAATTACATGCTACTTTGTAGACATTTTATTGAAGCAGTTCAATGCGGTAAAAAATGCAAATGTTGGATGAGGATATTGCTCCAATTTATTATGCGCCATATGAAAACTTTTAGGAATACATTAACCTGCAGTAAATGCACTTTAATTTTTCACTACATTACAGAAGAGTTCATAAAGCTTGCGAAATGTGAAGACATAATGTAAGCTCACAGAATGTTGCAAATGTTCATTTTGTTTGAAGTGAAGATAAATGAAAAAAAAATTCCATATTTTATGTAGATGATAACAACTTGAATTAATTTTCTAGCAATATTTTATAAAGAGATCAATGGTTCATGACATCCTATCGCGAAACCATTGCTTGAAATTGGAAAAAAAATCAGAAAATGTGACAATAAATTTTTCTCAAAATTTTAGTACAGTATGTAAAGTGTTTTCCATACTGCCGCTTTTGTTTGACATTTTGAGCTGCAGGCTCTGATAGAATTTATGAACCTCCAAGACAAGTTGACTGTGTTTTACAAACTGCAGTCTCAATGGACAGTACGGACTGTAGTTCACGAAACAACAACTACAGCATAAAGAAAAAATATATTTTACTCATTTTGTATTCCCCCATCGCTTCAGTATGAAATAAAAAACCGTCATATTTTCAACAAACTTAATTTCAACTAAATAACATTTATGGCGATTTTCAGTTTTGCCGTTTATTCAAAAGTTCCAGACTGCAATGGGTGTTACAGCACTCGGCGGATACAGAGAAACAAATTGACTGAGTTAATGTTTTTGAAGGTGGCAATATGCCAACAGCTTTGTTAATCGACTCTTCTCAATACGCTTATAAGGGAGTGTCAAAATAATGCATTTGTATACATACACTTTTTAGAGTCGTCGTTCCTCCCGCCCCTTCATCTCAGTTCTTCTCGACGGGAAAGGGTTTTTCCCGTCGTCCTACGGAACCCTGATTGAAGGCTAGCTGACGTTGCTGTCAGGACCATCTGAGGTCATAATGGATTAGTGTAGTTTTGCAAAAAAAAATAAATAAATTCATATTCTGCTCTTAGATGTTAATTGAGACCGGGGCAATAAAATATCCTCTTTTTTCTCCATAGGATGGATTGAAATTTCTATTGTGGCATTTATTTAATTTTGAAATCTGCTCATCTCCTAGTGAAATTATTCATGAAGAAAAATTGTTTTCTTTGCAGTGAACATATCTCCTTCATTTTACCCCAACATTTGGAGCATGCTTTCTGAAGTGAATCTCATCTGCAGGAGTACCAACCCTAATTCATGTCATGGCGTAATACTATTTAATTTTTTAATTTATGTTTTTGGTTTCTAGAGTGAATTCATATGGAGAAATTTTCATTATTTTATTTATCGATCTACTCAATTTTCCGTTGTTGTTGAGGATTTTTTTGCCAAATTGAGAAAAAAAGACTAGTGCAATCTGCTCAGTTTTAAACGCTTTTTTCTTTCTATGATATTTCTTGATCTCTGCTTTGTAAACTAAGAGTTCCGGCCTCTTGTTCTCGTATATGACGGTTGGTTGTGCTAGTTCAGTGATCATTAGCTGTCTTCTTTCCTATAACTTGTAAAACCAAGTAGTTTTCGGTTTTGCATCGGTACACGGCGATGTCAGTTACAAAATTTTATCAACTTACTGCTTCTGACAGAATCTTGTTTCGATTGACTCTTACCTCCCTTGCCTTTGAAAGCTGCACATCCAACAAACTGGCTCTTTATTTGTTTACCTGTAGCGTGAATGTTGTCGGAAAAGTAGAAGTATTTGAAGACTTCGTTAAATTAAAGCATTTAGATTGTACCTCATTTTCAAATTAGCGAACTCGAACAACTAAAAACTTTTTGCTGCCATTTAAAAAAGTTAATAGATTGGAATGTGATGTTAGTGTAATTTCAGTTTTACCTGTAGAAAAGAAGACCGTGTTACAGACAGATGGACCTTGTAGAGGTGGCACGGCAGTATATATCTGAAATGGTTAAATTAGCTGGCCCGGGAATGAAAGTAATGATGATGGATAAAGAAACAGTTAAATTTTTTTCATTTTCCTCAATTGTTTGAAACTTGTGGCATATTGTTTAGGCCGAGAGAAGTAGGTTCAAGAGTGTTTGAGTTATAAGTTTGTTTTTTACATCTTTCCCGTTGTTGAAATTTTTCATTCCATAATCTTTCTGCAACTTTTAAGACAAGTATTGTATCTTGCGCCTACTCGCAAAGCGAAATGATGCAAAAAGAGGTTTATCTATTTGAAAGGATTGACAGTGGTATTACAAGGTTTGCTGCTTTTTTGGCTTCATCTAAAAGCCTGTTGTTCAGGTTTATATATATATTTTTTAATTGTCTATTTTTGTTCATTTCAGAGAACCTCTAAAGCACTTGAAATGTATTACTTTTCTAAGGCCTACGGCTGAGAACATACAACTGTTAGCTGACGAATTGCGCTCTCCAAAATACGCTCAGTATTACATATGTAATTTACCAGTTACCTTTGTCTAAATTCCGGACAAAAGTTTTTGTAAATTGTATTTATCATTTACAGGGATCTGTCATTGTTTGGTTACTCACATTTGGTCTCTGTTTTCCTTAAAATGCTTTTAGTGGTATCCTGTTTTATTTCTTATTTCATATTTTTAGATTTTTCCAATATTATTAGTAAAACTGACGTCAAGACTCTGGCTGTCGCCGATGAGCAAGAAACGGCAAGTATTGTCATCCCTTACCCTTCATAAATAAAAATTACTGTTTTATCATATCAACTTTTCCAAATTTTTTTTGGAAATGTCTTGATAAACTATCGTTTCATCGTGAAAAATTAGTTTTTTGTCTTTTTTCTTGCTTTTCACTACGTTCTGTTGAATTGTCAAGCGTTGTTTCATGGGGCTCCCAGAATATTAATTACAGTTTAGGTACGCGAAATGCATGAATACTTCCTCGATGCTGTGCCATTAAGCCGACATCTTCTTTCACTGAACATTCCCAATGCATACGGAGAACGGTTCTCTATTTCTATGACTGTTTTTCGTCGTTCTCTGGATGCTATTGTCGCAACATTGCTTGCAGTAAAGAAGAAACCGGAAATTCGGTATAGCAGTTTTTAATAGGCTTTACTGATTGTTCGTAAATTACAGCGACTATTTTGGTTATGAAAAGTATAATAATATGAGGTACCATATACTTTTTAGGTACCAGGCTTCATGCAAAGATGCTAAGCGTTTGGCAGAAGAGGTTGCTAGGTCAGTTAGCAGAGAAAGCACCTTATTTGAAGGGTCCGTATCTGAAGGGACTCTTCTAATTATTGATAGAAGTGAAGATCCTGTTACACCTCTGCTTAATCAGTGGACTTATGAAGCAATGGTCTTGGATCTCCCACTTTTTAAATCATTTTTCATCACCTCCAGAAGTGTAGATGCCGAAGCTTCAAATATCTACAGCGTGTTTTTTTACCAATTAAGTGGCAATATTTTTAGGTTCACGAGCTGATTGGAATAAAAAACCATCGTGTTACAATGGATTCTGTTCCTGGTGTTGGAGCGATAGTTCTTTCCCCTTTGCATG